AAACATAAAGGATCAATGGATCGCATATGGTCACTTTCCAGCTAAAAAAAGAACCATAACGATTCACTAATTATGCCATCACCGTAAATTTCATATTCTTTCAGCGAACAATCAATCACTGTTTCAATGCATCCAATCGTATATAACAAACTTTTAACAAATTACATCAGTTTGTTCCTCACCGCACCGAAATATCTCGTGCAAACCATCAAGTGCGAATCATCAGTTTCAACATTGAGAATGACTATGTTCTGTGTTGAGGATTTGCTGCAAGATTACTTAAGCAAATAAACGTGGCATACATAAAGAGAAGCAAGCCGCTAAAAGATGATCAAATCAATCCCTCCAGCTGACTCGCAAATGTTAGACGCAATACGAATTCCTCAAATGTAGAGCAATGAAGATGTAACCAGCTAATGCAAAGTTATGGCACCAGAATTGTTATCTGAACGGATATCATCCGCATCGTTTGCATTTCGGTTCATTCTTATTCCAACCATAGTGTGATATTTCACAGTCACACGCACTGCCACATCAATTCAATGAGAATCATTTACGGTGTTGTTGTTCACGTTCCCTTTGAGCTTTGGCATTTAAATTTCATCTTCTGTCATCGCAACAATCAAAACTGACCCAACAAAATGTGAAAAGTGCGTTATCAAAACAACGCTTCCACAATACGAATCAATTACGGCTAAATGCAATTTGTTTCGAACGTCTTTTATATGCGATAACTTGAAAGGTAGTATATCTTCTTTTCGAATTTATCACTTGTCACACTATCAACTTCCTCCGATTCGATCAGCTGTGATATAAACACATGATATATTTATTACTGTACTGATTTATTGGCTGATTTTAGAGTTGAACGAGGCAATAGCAATGTTTGCAAACTGACTGAACCCATTCTCAAATGCTCCCTAATGGGATTCGTAGAAAAACAATCGGTATCAACATCTCGGAATAATCATTCGATGTTGCGAGCACAAACTATCATAGAGTGTTTTTGAGATTGAAGTGTATCAAAGACTGCAAGCTACAAATCGATATGAACCTACAATGAAGCGATTATTAATTCATTACACGAACCAATAAAAACCTTGAAGATATGATTGATTATACAAAAGAAGACACAATAATTCAACAAGGAAGCAACTAATTATGATGAGTATTCAACAAAATAAACAATCTTCGATTGATAAACACAATTTGCAGAACGAATGCAAGCAAAATGATGCAATTTAATATGTTCCAAATAAAACATCCAAAAATTAGGTTATACTTGTGGGTAAACAGATACGTTTGTTCGAAGATTATTAGTGCAAATAAATATCGACGAGTTGGGTGAAGAGGAAATATTCCACAGAAAAGAAAAATATCTTAATCGATGCTTACCTAACGAACGTGAGAAAAATAAAAGACAATGTTTACGATGAAGTGGCTGTTTAGCAGCTATTCCTCGTGATATAAACAAACGAACGATTAAAATGAAATATACGAAAACAGTCAATTCTGCGATTGGAAAAGCTTTGAGAAAATATCGAACAATGGGAAAAAAACTGAGATCGATGAAAAATTGCATTTTGAACGGAGAAAAAACTGAATGAAGAAGAAAA